GACAGACCAGAGCTGCCTCGTGTGGCAACCCTCCACGACATGCAACTGGTGTTGGCCGAGCCTTTCAGTGCTACCCTAAGCAGGGTTAGTCCTCTGGGACCTCAGTGACCCGTTCAACGGCGCTAAGAAGCTACTTGCATGCCGCAAATTAAGACCTGGCCTGAGGACTCAGGTACTGCTAGCCTGGAAACGCGTACCTGGCACAGCTGGGGCAAAGCCGTTTGTGCCTGGCAAAAGACGACATCAGAACTCACGCCGGACATGCTCTAGCTCGACTGCGGGTCTTCTCTCTAACAGATAACAGACATGAGTCTATCAAGGGCAGTAGCAATATGATTGTTTGCGCAATACGGTGGTTCAGGACAAAAAATCATCGACAAATCTGTGATGATGCGACAAAAAAGCCCGGCCCGGTGTGGATCATCAACTACTCCCAAGGCGGCTAGGTAGTGATTAAAAAGATGCGAGAGATGGCGAGGCCGCAGGGTGCTTCCGAGGCGCCGTTCTTAGACTCCCGCCAGGATCCATCCAATTGGCAAGCCTTGGACATGGAGTCCTGTTCGATCTTGAACAAGACGGCAAGCAGCTTTTTACACACTCGATTCGCCCAACGCACGGGCTTCAAGCAGCTGTTGGGGAAGAGGTGGAACGAGCACAACTTCTGCACATCTTCACTCTCCCCTACATGAATATCACTGCCTGTGATCAAAGTGCGTGCAAGTGGTGCCTGTCCACTACGGGACCTATATATTCCCCCAGGCAGTCCCAGTCGATGACTTGACGTACTACTGTTTAATAACATATGTATGAGAGACGTATCGGGCTATATCGAAGGCTACAGCCGCGGTAACGGTGCAGATTGCGCCGATGTGCCGCTGCCAGATGCAACAGTTCGTTTTGTCGAGCTTGTTGCCATCGTTCGTCTCCAGCCCCCAACTGTATTCCAGTCCTTTTCTGGCTAGTGGGGGTTTTGTACTTTGTGTTGGCACCGTCTCCCCACTAACCTGAGAGTCAGGGGGGGTGAGGGACTCACGATGAGATGAGAGATTGGTCACCCGAGAGATGAGGCATGGAGTCAATGTGTCAAAGTTTCTGGGAAGCATTTTCGCAGGCAGCGTGGTACCATCCTTGCCCAGCGTTGCTCGTGCTCGTGCTCGGTGCTCATGCTTATGCTCATGGTCACGGTCATGCAACCAGCACACGCCTGCCTCGCACTATTACATCAATCGCCACGAAGACGACGACGGAGTACGGAGCACGCTTAATATGGATAGAGAGATGCTTCTACGGAGTAACAGGGGTCCACAACTGCTCATCGGAAGTACCTCAACGGTCTCCACCAAGATACGCCAGGTATTCCTAGGATAGAAGTGAGATATACGGAAGTTCCATGTCTAATGGCAGCTCTGATTGTCAAAATGTGGACGCAGAATGGACCTGCATACCGAACGCAAGATTTAGAAAGACTAGACACACTAGTCACACTGATTCGGGCTGATTCTTACCGCCGGTCACTTGGCAGGGAACCTCACAAGACGTATTTCATTCCCGGGTGGCCATTTGTTGCTTCATATTAAAAATATCTCTCGCCCCCGCCCAGCAGAGTTCCATCAGAGAGTCAATACTTGCCGCCACTCGCAAGCCTAGTAGACCTGGCCAAAGTGAGCTGAGGCACCGACGAGTGAGCAACCAAGCAAGCAACTTATTCACCTGTGACCAACCAACCTGCGACCCTGTCCTTTATTTTCCCTTCTACTCGCGAATATATTGGCCAGCCCATGTACTGGCTCTTGTTTACCTAGGATTGCCGCTGATCCGAATTGAACCTCAAGTCTTTACATTCCCACGGTCCCTCCTTGACAGGGCACGTCTTCCTAGCACTGATGGAATAGAGAGTGTTCTAGTAGAGAAATCTGACTGGGAGTGACTGGCTACAGTCCAAGGATTTCGTTTCCACCCCGGTAATCCACGCCACGCCTTCGAAATCCACAGGTGAGGAAAAGAAACACAGTCGGCGGACGCTTAATAAGAGACATCCCGCCAATCTTACTCCTCTGAGCCAGACACCATCAAGTCCGCCTTCCCTTCTGTCACCCGTCAGAAATTTTGGAGCTTGATGCTCCAATAGCTGCATACAACCCTCTCGGCTCGTCCAGAAGTGGTATAAAAGCGACTCGGCAACGCGGAATTAAAAAGAAGAAGAAGAAAAAACTGTTTTCTTTCAGTCCCTTGTTGTTGTGGGCTGTTCCAAATCGGTGGCAGGTGTACGCAATACACTTCCTCCCTTGTACCACAAGCCCTTGGCACCGTTTCTAGACAGCCACACAGCAGACCTCCAAACCAGGAACGACTCATTCGGGACGTCCCGGACCTAATTTAATAGGTGCTGTGACTGGTTTTCAACGACTCTTTTACCATCTTCGAATTGTCTGTCTACGGTCGACTGCCTTTACTGCCTTCATAGTTCACCTTTCAGCATAGCGCCAGTCGCCGGCTACATACGGTTCGGTTTCGAGTATCAAAGGAAGTCATCAATTGTCAACTTGGTTTTTTTCTCCCCAAGATTTGACTGCCTCTCACAGGATTACAGTTTCAGGCCTGATACAGACCAGAAACCTAAGCACAAACTCCAGTGTTGCAGATCGATTCGACACCGCCTCAAGCACGCTGATTGTGTGGATTCTTCTATCCATCGCGAAATCTTGATGATTGTTATTGAATTGTGGTGGTCGACTACTGTGTATTGATTTTATAGGGAATCTGGGCCGTCGGAGCTGTGACGGAGGAACCAAACTCTGGATGCTGAATAATGACCTACCACCTGACGCAATCTTCACAAGATCAGGTGGGTGTTTGCTCCTTTCCGATGAATTCTGACCTAGATGACAGCTTACTTATATTGCAGAGTTTGTCACCTCGAAAGGAAAACAGAAATCAAACATGGGATCCCCAGAGAGACCCAAAAGTCCCAATGCGGTGCTGAAGAGATCCTTTAGCACTCCAGATACGGCACGATTACAGAAACAAGCAGCAGAGGACTCCCAAGTTCAGCAATCATCTACTGGTGAGAAGAAACGCAATAAGCTTGGTTATCATAGGACATCTATTGCCTGCAGTATGTCAGATTCCTTGATGGGCTCTGTACTTCCTCTTGTGCTAATATGGAGTTTGAAGGTCATTGTCGACGAAGAAAAATTCGATGTATTGCGTCGCCAGATGTCCCTAATCGCTGCGTCAACTGCATTCGGTTGAAAAAGGAATGCAGCTTTTACCCTGTTGATCAGCAGCCGGGAACAGACACACGACCCAAGGCGCCGTCGCGGCAAGCAGGTGGCCCAAATGCGTCATCTGCATCATCATCTCCTGCTGTTGGCACCGGAAGCCCGGCAGGGACGCCATCATGTATGATAGGAAGTGGCGTCACCTTGTCAGGTTCCCAAGGGGCGAACGCCGACTACTTCTCGTCGGATGCTAGTGGTAAGTGCCCAATCGTTCGTAGAGGTCTGTGGGATTTCTCACTAATGTGCTTCTTATGCAGTCTCGCCCAATGGCATGCCTGCAGGCAATCAGTACACTTTCGCAAATCAGCCGACTTCAGGTTGGGTATCAACGGATGTTAACTCGGCCAGCGTTTCGAAACCCGAAGACATGGCAATGCCATGGCATGCGTATCCAACAGAGTCGCCCGTCAGTGGCCAGTTTTCTCCCTACACACAGACGTCCTCTGCCTCGATCACTTGGACATCTGGAACCTCGGAGGCTGGCTCGCACGACGACATGGCTTGGGGAGAGTTTCCAACGCCAATGAGATCGCTATCATACAGTGGTGAAAGCGGCGGGAGCCATTCGCAAGCTCCCTTCATCCAAATGACCCCAGCACAAGCATACGAACGTCGGCAATCGAATTTTTCCGATGTGTATCCGCCCTTTCCAACAACCATGGCCGGAGGTAACCCAATGACTGCAGTGAGCACCCCAACTCAGATGCCACCCGGGGCACCATTTGTACCAGGTGTAAATCCATGGCAGTCACAGCAACTTCTCGCGGCTCAAGGCTCAACTCCAGATTGGCAATATGCCACAACGGATGGAAATCAAGCGATGTTGATGGAGGATCAACGAATGGCACCAGGGGTCACACAAGCTCCATCCGGTGTATATTACTCCACCTAGGTTTGATTTGATGGAGTCGACAATCGACTTTGGAGCTACTAAAATGACCTGAAATTAGTGGCATACCTGATTCAATACGGATTCCATGCTCTGCCAGTCATTACTGCACATCCTGCACACGTTATTCACAACAGCTGTTTGGGCACATGTGAGTCGACGGACAACAGCCGGTTGCGAAAAGATTTTACCCATCAGCCCACGATGAAAGAGTTTCAGAGATGAGCAGAACGGTTGAAGACTAGTGGATACCCGGCCTGAAACATTGAACAGTCTCCTCAAGAATCGTGTGGTGCTTACCAACTGGTCGATCAAATCTTTGCAGCGCTGTCGCGAATTTATTGCACCGTGAATGGCACTATGTATGTTCTGGAGAGGGGGTTTACATGTTTTACGCTCAAGGGAATTTGGGGCGAAAAAAGTATCTGATAAACAAGGAGAACGACCCAAAGGACAATTTGGCAGGTGAGTCCGATAGATGCCCATTGGCCTGGGTGAGGAGGGATCTAGGTCGGTTGATATTGGCCATCTACTGCTTTGTTATTCACATTTTAACGGCCTCCGAAGTACATATTACATCTCATGTGGACAAGGAATCAGTCTTTAGAAGTGCTTCGAGTAGAATCATTTGAACGGCGTTGGGTCACTATTGAAAGGATAAATGCATATACAATAGTCGCTTGGGGAAAATATACATTGTACCAACGGTTTGCTTCTTTCTTCAGACGACCCTTCCCTCTTCCCTCTGGCGCTTCGCACAAATTCAAGCACATTATTGTCGAAATGGACAAACTGAACTTTAGGGCCAACGAAGCCAAGCGCAATTATCGTCATGAAACCAAACGCCAGGTCAATACGAAAAGGGTGATGTATGCCCCTAAACTCAATGCCGTCATGAGCAAAACCGTATCACCACTCGTCTTAAACTTTCTTCGAATGGTACCATCAGAAGACTCAGCAGTGAAAAATTGCCTGTTCCCTTGATAGCGTCGATACGCGGCTACAAGCAACACAGCCACGCCATATGCGGCAAACAGAGCACCAATGGCGTAAAACTCCTCGGTGAAAATCTTGATAATGACCAGCGCAAAAGAAAATTGGCCGAGGGCAGTGCGCATATAAGCACCTTCAAAGGTGCGCTGTGCAGCGCGAACTTCCACAAGTCTGTGTACAGTCAGTGGTTGGCGATTCTTTGTCATGGCGGCAGGCCTCGGGGCGGGATCGTGACTCACTCCTGAGAAGTTAGGACCACGGACCGCGCTCTATGAAGGCGAAGGTGAAGGTGTTCTTCGGGATGTGGCTGCATGGGGTTGCGGGCAATCAGCCTTAAGATCTGTGACAACATAGGTCCTGCTGAGCAGGCCAGACTTACATGGAACATGGTTGTGTTGTGCCTGAGCTGAGGCTATGCTCGTTCCTGCATGCTTCGTTTTGCGACGAGTTGGCTGGGGGCGGGGACATACGCCATATGTTGCGGGTGAGGTGCCACAGCAGGCGCCAGCGCTTGGCGATGTATCGCGGTCCAGATATTATAGGTGTCGATGGCAAATGTCGCCAGCCTTGTTCCTGATGGTGCGAGGTTGGCACGGAAGTTATGACGTGAGGAGAAGGGGTGACCAATCTAGGTTTAGCGCGCCGCTTTCCAGCCGAGGCGGCGATGGCGCAAACTTGGTCGTTGACAATCATCACGTGGCCAGTTGGTCTCACATTGTCTAGTATTTCGGGATCTCAGAGACGGGAATTCAGTAACTGAGATGGGAATCTAGCCGTGTACGCTTTTGGTATTCGAGTCCAAGTTTACAAAAATCGCTACTAGCTCAAAGCACAATGCCAATGTGTGCCTTGCTGACTGACCAAAAGATGCATCAAACAAACAAGTTGCCTGCCCTTGTCAGTATAGACTTTTCTTGACAGGTAGATAAAAAGCCAGCATTCAACTACGTACTTCCTCTCAAGTGGGAGAGTGCAAGTCATTCGGGCGTGGGCAGTGCAGCACACGGGGACGGGTGGTGGGCGTTTTCACTCGCTTCGATTCAGCCGCAACACTGTGGGATGTGTAGTTACCATCCTCCATGGTTGACTATCTTGTCGTTATTTGTGCCAGTGGCGCTGAGCGGAGAATGAGAATTCATTCCGTGGTAGCCAGACCCTCCACGCTGCGGATTGAAACTAGAGAAACTTCTGTCGACTTCACACACCATGTACCAGGGCCGTCGAGGGCCACCCTCGGGCGTGATGATTGTCAAGGGCGGATCAGATTTGACCGAACCGGGCTTCCTGGATATGGACATGGTGTTGTGCGTCGTCGTAAGTGGTTATATGTGCTACAGTGAGAACCAAGCCAACTACGATCGGATATTCAGGCACGCACGAGGCCATGGACTATCAAGGGGTATTTCCGTGATATAATATGACGGGGGCTTTAAATCGGAATGCCGGCATACTTTGGTCACTCGCCACTACGACTTAGCATTGAAACTATCGGGCGGTATGACAGGGAAGCAGGGAAGCCGAGCTCAAGCCTCAACCAGCCCAAAAGGTGGCTGACGCTGTTGGGTCGACTAGACATATATTCTCACGGGGACTGTTACAAAGCAGCCTCTCTCCACCCGTTGCAGCTCCTGTCGGGCGAGGCGGATTGTTGCCAGATTCAGCCCCGTGGCAGTGGAAGTGGATCACGACCTAAAGCCTTGCCAGCTTTTAAGGTTTTAAGGAACAAATAGATGAGACAAGTTGACGGCTGTTTGAGAGCCTGGTGGGGAGTCGGCCCCAAGGCTGAATTGGCATAATGCTGGATAGTACTCTGTAGTGAGTTTCCGAAACGGACGTTTTTTGTTCCATTTCGGGTTCTGTCTTGACTCTTCCTCTCGAACCATGGCAGACGCCAGTTAATTAACTGTTGCCCACCATGACCATGTGGTTAAAGGCACATCCCCACCAGGGCGTGGCCGCGATGGGGGAGATGAGGGAGAGGTCTGAAGAGGGAGCCCATTGCCTGGCTGCCCCAGTGAGCGGATGGACATCGAATGCAGGGTGAAAGCTCGAATGCTCCGAGTTGATTTCTCCGTCGGGCTTCACACACCTACCTGGGTAAGCATGTAAGCAGGGCCGACCGAACTCCCTTCTACAGCTTCTCAACTCTAGTCAATGCTCCGGTGTCTTTGGGAGCCAGAGCTGCCATCTCGCGCATCTCAGCGCTCTGCAAGAGCACGCACGCACCTGCCAGTCCAGAGCCGTGCCGTGGCGTGAGTGTCAACTGGTCTGTCTGCAAGCGCAAGATTCAGTGCAGCGCGCACCTGGACCGTACATGTGTGTAACTTGACTACTTGAGTATTGGTAAGAAAACAAATAAAGCCATCAACCTCGCCGGCGGACTAGCAGGGACAGGGCATCCGACAATGTCTGGTTCCTTGTACGAACGACGAAAAATAAGCGCCTGCTGGGCCGCTCCGCACGGTACCTATGCACCCGGTGCCATGAATTGATCTGATCCTATGCGCGACGGCCTGCCACTTCCTACTTCAGCCCTCGCACCTTGACCTTTTTCTGCCTGCCTGTGACCAGGTTCTTCCTCAACAACACCGCCGTCTGCTTTCAAGCCCATATCACGTCCGTGTCGCTCCCTCAATTGCTGTGCGTGCGTTTTACCTGAGCAGTCCTGGGCCGGTGCTAGAAGCACCCCTTCCCGACCCTCTTGAAGCGATTGCCGTTGGCGCAGCCCAGGAACATGACCCCCTGCCGGTGACTTCATCCACACAGAGCTCCATCGGTCCGCAGTCAGACTGACAATCGGAGCTGCTTTTTTATTCCTCTGCCTTGCATTTGATTTGCTATATATCTTGTCTCGTTTCTCGCTGGGGATACCTCTGTCCTTCCGCTCCGCCATCATGGCCTCGAGCTTTGCTGAGGCACCTGCGTCTTTGCAAAGTCAAGCCTCTGAACCCCGCAATACTCAACCTTCAGCCGGGAACAAGAACCAATACACCCCGTCTTGCGGAACCGATCCCTTCAACTTGTCGCACCGGCGAGACGAAGCCGTGTCTCCCGCCGTCGAGCATACTGAGACACCTGCTGGTTCGATTGCGACTGTGAGCCACTATCAGTCCAGCGACTTTAGCGACCTCGACGACGACCCATTCTTTGGTGCCGACTTCAACACCATTGACCCGGCGACGCCTTCCTTTTTGGATGAGGCCACATGGGATCAGACTACTTTCTCTGGGGACCATCCTGCCATATCTGAGTCCCGTCATGGGTCAGTAGACGGCTCTTCGTATCCTCTGACGCCCACACATACCGACTCTGTTCACACGACGCCACCTACAAGTGATCGGACGGACCTTGGTACAGTCGCAGTTTCTGAGACAATGCCCAACTCAATCTCACCACAACAGCTCCGGCGACCCTTCAAGCCAAATCCCATCCTTGTCTGCTCATCAACACTTACCCCAAGTCACAGCGGTAGTAATCGGACAAGCGAGGACGGTCTTGCCCCGGCTCCTGCCGCCAAGTATCCCCAGAGTCCAAGGGTGACCATCTCAGTCTGGGACAAGGATGATGACGCTCCCATCCATACTGTTGAGCGTACGTTGGAAGATAGTTCCGGAACGGTTCGCGGGGGCATCTACTCCGCAGGTGACCTCATATCTACCGCTCATGACCAAGAATTCATGACTGGTCACAGGGATTCCTTGGATCGCTGGGAGCAGGAGTCCGCATCCAGACGAGCGGGGCTTGATCCCAGCAGTCGTCCTTCTGACGAAATACCCAGTATTAATGAAATTGTCTCTCAAAGAAGAACCGACGAACGCAATCGAGAAGTCGGGCGGTGGTTATCAGATAATCCTGATCATATGCCCGTTCCACTGGAGAAATCTGCGGACGAAATACGAGCCATTGACCGCATAACACACCAAGATGATGAGATTCCTTTCGGACACCGCACTCAAAACCAGTTCAAGGAAGGGACGACTATTCTTGGTGGCAGTGGAGGCGAGATGTCCGATGTGGATCGAAAGATTCTTCTGGCCGGTCGGAATTTTGGAGACGCACCTGTACTCCATGAAATTCAAATGGGCGAGCCTGGAAGATTCCAACCGGAATCATCACAGGCCGCCATTGCCAAGTTTGAGAGCATGTGCCGGGACAATGATTCCATCATCTCGAGGTCTGCAACCTGGGGCACTCGTCGACGGAGCTTTCCAAGCGTTGTTGACGTTGAAGGTGTAACGAGCGGGAATTTTCTGAAGAAGTTGTCTATTAACCGCGGCAACGGAGAGAAGATCAGCAGACCAGGTAGCTTCCTCAGGGACCTTCGCGGCCTTGTAAGACGCACCAGCGCCAACCAGCTTCGCAAGCGATCCCGGAGTCGCTCTCGTGGTCGCTCCGACAGCCAGGCGGAGACACCATTCCACGACGGAGCCGGACAGCATATCGAACGCGAGACAACACCGCACTTGTCGCCCCCGTTAGGATCAGCTGGCAGCGGTAAGAAACAAACCCCTAGCATTAATACTACTCTGGCATCCATGGGCCAAAATTTTGCATCCATATGGACGGGTCATGCTAGAAGTGGCTCTGTCAGTGGACCGTCCCCGATGGGCTCACCCAGAGCATCTCTCAATAGTCTTAGCGTTAAGAATTCACTGAGAAGACCTCGGAGTAAATCTGAGATTCCCAAGTCCACAGGTGGTGCACCCAACATGGAAAGCACATCAAGTCTCGTCGACATGTGGCGCAAGTCTGGTGGCCCCCCAGTAGCTCCTGTCCGCAGAGTGAACCAAGTCCACGCTGCCGATGACGACGACGACGACGACGACGATGAGGAGCTCTATGAAGATAATGATATGAAGGCGAACCCGAATCTCATTGACGAAATCATGCCAAACTTGGCTGGATTTCAACAACATGTGATAACGTTGAACCCGGCATTGGGTAACACACATGGCTATCTAGTGGAACGTATTGCTCACCAGCAGGTTGCCAGATACAAGTCGTTGCTCAACGCCAAAGTTAAGCACTTGGGCCTGGGCGCTAATTGTCCTTGCGGCTCCTTGTGCATGGCACTGGGCGGATCCGCAAATCTTCTCGACCAGAAGGGCGATACCAAGGCGCCGGATCCTTTATCGGCTGGTATAGAGGAGGATGAGGGTATGCCAACAGAGGGCACTATCAATCAAGAAAGCTTCCCGCAAGACATTCCCATGCCGCCCACTCAGTATCTACCTGCCGAGTTCGAGTGTCAGCTTTGCTATCAGAGCAAGAAGTTCCAGAAACCATCCGACTGGACAAAGCATGTGCACGAGGATGTACAACCATTTACGTGTACTTGGGACAAATGCCGAGATCCAAAATCTTTCAAACGGAAAGCCGATTGGGTTCGACATGAGAATGAAGGCCACAGACACTTGGAATGGTGGACCTGCGATGTAGACGATTGTCGACACACCTGCTACCGCAGAGACAACTTTCTTCAACATTTAGTGCGCGAACACAAGTTCTTGGAGCCTAAGGTGAAGACGAAAGCTGCCATGAAGCGTGCCGGAGGAATGGATCCAACATGGCACAAGGTCGAACAGTGTCATATTGAGACTACAGGTCGACCACAGGATGAGCCATGCCGATTCTGTGGAAAAAATTTTCCAACTTGGAAGAAGCTGACAGTTCACTTGGCCAAGCACATGGAGCAGATTTCCCTCCCGGTCCTGCGGTTGGTAGCCACCAAGGCAAAGGAATTGGCTGCAGACACCATTATCAGTCCAATTCAGGACCCTCCGCCAAGACAAACAATTCCTTTGCCCATCACGCAAGCTGCAACTCCAATCCAGTTCCCTGGTGGACAACAGATGCCGCAACAATCAGCGCAGAAGCAGTCACGGCATAGCTACAGCCACCAGAATTTGGGATTTCAGTCATCAAGCTCCTACATGTACCCTGTTATGCCCGCTGGACAATTCCACCAACAACAGCTCTACGCACCACAGTTTGAAAATATTGGACCGAGCCTTCAGTCTAATATGGGTGTTGGGCAAACGAATCAGGGTTATTATACGGGCCAGCGATTGCAAAACATGCAGGGAAACCGAAGCGGAAGTTACTTGCCATCCAACAACAACTTCATGACCATGTCGGATAACGATGTAGAGTCGTTCCCACAGCTGAGCATGAATGCACTTGGACTGCAAAACGTCGGAGATGTGCAGCTAGGAGGCCAGTTTGGTGGGCAGATGAACTTCGACCCCATGGTGGACCCAGCCAGCGTGAACGGGAGTCCCTTTAGTGGTCATGAGTCGTTGTCGACATATTCTCACTCGCCACACATGAACGCGTCAGCCTATAACCAAGACCAGCGTCATAATCAGCAGCAGCAGCAACAACCACAACAGCATTGGGACGAGCGGCCGCTTTTTCTCTAAATTCTCTATCAGAATTATCCCGTCAAGCAATGAGCCGTTGTCGTTTGGACTGATAATTGAAGGACGCACTTTTCTCCTCGTTTGAGTGACCAACACTGGTTTATTTTATAGTTGAGCGTGTGGTTTTTTTTTTCCCTCTTCTTCCTCTTCTTCTTTTTTTACCCCTTTCCTATTTGCAGCGAGCAGTGACGCAGTTGCTTTCGGTTTTCCCGGATGAGGGCAGAAAGGCGTGGCTGGCAGGGTGTTAACTTTCAGAGGCGAGTGACGAAATGTTTCATGGGCTGTACGACGAATGGGTCTTGCGCCATCTGAGCGGCTATCTGAGCGGCTGGTTATGAATTATGCAGAAGCCGGATATCGCAAAAGAGACATTTATATTTTTGTTTATTTCGAAAACCATGGATTGGTGGAAGACCGGTTCCTGCAGAGACGGGTTCACCTCTGCGAATTCATGACGGTTGAATGTGTTCATTGATTGATATACCTTGTCTGGTTGCATATAGATGCATATTTGGTTTGGCTTCTGTAACGAACGGATTATGACAGTCGTGGTCAAAAATGAGTGACTTTATTGAAAAATGCGCTATTATAAAAAAAAAAGAAAAAAAAGAAGAAGAAGAGAAACAAATCGGGCTTCCAACAAAGCGAGGTGTTTGCTGATATGTCTCGTGGTCCCACATGCAAATGAGGTTCATAAATTTGACATTTCGGTTGGGTGCCTACCTACCTAGGTACTTACCTAGTAGTAAGTAGGTAGGTAGGTAGGTAGTGGACGTACGTCGTCGAAAACTTGCACTGGCTTGAGGCTGTAACGCAACAAAACTGGTTTGCTTACGAGCAGTTTATACTCGACTCTGCGTGGAACCTCTGAACGCGCAACAGTTATTTTTTGATTGCATGCCTAGATAAATATACTACACATATGCTTTTTAAGAATGAAAGCCTCCGATTCCCTTTCATTAAGAAGCCGTCAAGTTCCATAGTTTTCTACACCCGTAGATTTACTTCTTATATATCTTGGGTAGGTAAAGGTAACTACATGGTATTTATTTTAATAATTAATCTACTGTACTTGAGTAGTCTGGTAAGTTGCAAGGCGCGGTCGCCACCCGGGCGGGCAGGCCTCATGTCCACTATGAATGTAAGGTGCACCAGACTTCCTCCGTACTGGCGGGGGATCAATTCATATGATGCTGGTGCACAGGCACGAAGCCCTTGGACCCGTGGGCCGTGGCTGCCTTGGCAGGGGGAAAGCTTGAAATCTGGAGAAGTGCCAAGTGGAGCTTGGCGGATGGACCTGCAGTACTCCGTACTTGCAGTATAACGATGCCAGACGGAGTACTACTCGGTAAGTAAGGGGCTTGGTCCTCCATGCAGTACCTAATACGCCCATCACGGTGGCTGGTTTTCGAACAAGTCATTTTCTACTCCGTACAGTGTTTGACCTGACCGTCTCTGTCTGGAGCTGAGCGGCTCGGTGGGCCAACGACGGCGGTTGTGCGACCACTACTCCGTACAGGGTTTGTTTCTTGTTTCAACCAAGAGAGATTGGGTATTGCCAGAGAAATAATACCTTCCAAGATTGAGCCCGTGCATGCGGCATCGACTCATCAGAGTGCAGTTCGTAGCCCTGAGCCTGAGTAAATTATGCCGTGGCATCGGCATGGTGCACACATTTCATAAACCAGGGATGCTATCTGAAATTAGGACAGGTCCGTCTGGAGTTCTGTGTTGGCTCCTGAAATGGACGAATGCCTACGAACGATAGCTGGGCCCCAGGATTGCGCGGACCGAACAAGAACGGAAACGAAAGACAGACACCAGAAAAAAAAAAGTTTTCATACTGAAGAGACAACAACTCGTATAAAGTACTTACTGGCATGGCGGTGCATACTACAACCAGGTTTGTTACGGAGTAACTTATACGTAGTGGAGCCTTTGCCTTGGAGAGACATTGGGGGCACGCGACTCGGGCGAGGACGGCGTGGCTGGCTCGTTGTGTGTTGTTTGGAATGGAAGGCAGCAGGAGGCAACGCAGGAAGCGAAAGTAGCTCTGCATTAAAATACGGAGTAGATAGATCTTTGCAGCAACAATCGTCGGTGCATGGAGTACAGAGTACGTCGTGGGTTCCCGGATTCCTTGTTAGGAAGCCAAAGTCGAGCGAGGCATTCGTATTCAATGGTACGGAGTATGCCCTTGAAAAATCCTTGCGTGCCTGTGTTCGCGGTCATGTGAAAGCTGGGTCGACGATGCATAAACGACCTGACCGGCCTCTGATAGGAGGCAGTGCAGCGAACGAAGGCACACGTCGTCCCATCAAGGCTCTAAATATACTGCGCATGATAGCTTCCTCACCTTGCTAGATCCACCAGATGAGCGTGCCGAGTACATTGCGGGAAAATCGATTCAGGTACATGATTGTATAACCCAGGGAGAGAATCGGTTGATGCTGAGAATAGTAGATGGGTGGCTAGGGTTGTTGACTGGGCAAGTAAGAACCAGCTTTGTTTGCTAAATCAGTCTGAACATGACCCTCACCAAAGCTTGAATTGCCATTTGGGACAAGACATTCTTGTTGTATTCGAGGCTGCTTTATGGACCCGGCCCTGAGAATAGACCCCAAAGAGGCCTCGACAGCATTTGCGATGGGCTTGAGAGTACGGAGTAGAAGCTTGACAGTCAGTCAGTGCGCTCTCCTGACCAGCGTCGGCCCCCCCTGGCGGACTGGTTGGCGGTGGTGGCGGGAATATATGCCCCTGGTCGGAGTGAGGTTTCAAGTGTCGCATCACGGATCGACCGTGGAGTGGATTGGGGATGCAAAATCGCGGGTTTCGATTGGCGGGCTTAGCGGGTCTTGATGAAGGCTTGGTCTACTCCGTAAAAGCTGCAGAGCCGCAAGGATTCGCAAGTGGTGAAGAGCACATTACGGAGTACCATTGTAGTAGCAATGCTCCGTGAAAGTTTTGGGGGCGGTGACGGCCACTAGATGAGCAGGATGGACAATTTGTGTGTAGTACGGAGTACCCGTAGTGAAATTTGAATACTGATCCCCTCGTTTGTTGCATAGTACTCCGTAGACATGTCTGGTACAGTTAATAATAGAAATCAACACCAAGACTGGCCCCCGGAGCCATGTGGAGTCGGGCCACACTCAAATTGAGGCCCTGATGCCAAGACATGACTTCGACTTCTGCCACTCCAGAACCTCCTCTCTGGCTGGAGGCTCATCCCCGGTTTGACGGTCACACCCTCGACATGTAGTACCAACAATGCTTGCGTGTCTTGATATACATACCTAGGTACGCAGCATTTCCGGCCCTAGGGCATTGAATTCCGGCAGCGTGTTCAAACGTAGGCCAGAGGCACATGCTACTACAATGCAACCTCGATGTTGTGTTGACCGTGAGAGCATGCCTGGGTTGAAGCTGACTTTGCTGCAATGTTGTGTGTATCTTCATGACATCTTGGGGCCATATTGTTCCTGCAGGCTCGGCAGAGTACAAACACCGCGACTGTCCAAAATATCACAGCCAGTCAACGTGGCCTGGAGTCCACCAGCAAGGTTCTGTCAATACCCCTGATTTCGCGTTTTGGTTCGTCAGCTTCGACTTCGACCCCTGGGGCTCGTGGATCGTCTCAACCACGGAGCATGGAGTACGTAGTACGGGGACACGAACTTAAGGGAACTACAAGAGCCGTCCAAGAATCGTCCAACCACCAATAAACCGCCCCCTGCTTGCCCAATCGACTCCTTGTTTGTTTTGGCTCTGTGTACTCCGCATAACTTGAGCATGTAGTAGTTAGCGTGTAGTCGGGTGGCTCTAATTGAGAATTGATGGGAGGGCACTTATACTGTCTTCGAATGTACTTTTGCACAAACTGAACTGAGTCGAGCTTTGGCCAACGCCGTGTCTGATGGTTGCCTTTGCCCATGCCCCTACCATGTTCTAGCTCCAAGGAAATACTACGTTCAGACAGGACGAGACCTCCCCTTACTTTGAGGTCGAAGGGTCGATTCCATGCTACTTCGGTACGGACATCTAGGGGCGGCAAGGAAGGAAGGAAGTCTGAGTCTGGTCCATGCCTTCCATTTCCCTGTGCTCGTCATGCCCGATCCACCCTCTTTCCTTCCTTCTCCTCAACTTCGTACTCTCTCTCTCGCCAGCCGCTGATCATTTTGTTTTTGCGTGTTGTTTTGCATTTTATTGTGATTTCGACACATTCGTTTGGGAATTCGTGCTTCTCATCACAGACGCTCGACCTTCGACCTGACCACTTCCCTTTTGCACCACCTCGTCTTGGTTGTCTGCGTTTCAGGTCCGCCCCTTGCCGCCGCCACCACCACCACCACCACCTCTATTGCGGCCACAATCACAACCACAGCCGCAGATACCGACCGCCAGCTTTCGCCCAATTTCTGTTTCCCCTTTCAACAGTCTTTCAACGGCTGGTGAATCCGTGAACGAGGCGATATTCTTCTCCCTTCGTGGGATTTCGTCTACTTTCTTTGCCGCATTGTTTGTTTCAATTCTACCTTGGTTGATCCTTGGCTTTTTTTGACTTCATTGTCGCCGCTGGACGTACTTTTTCGGTGTGAATTCACCTCCAACACGGTCTTTCAACTTTGATTTACAGGACAAATATTGGAAAAAAAATCCAATCATTTGAATAGTCTCTCTTTTGTTACCAACCTTTGCCTTTCCGAACTGGGGAGAACAAACACGACTCAAAATCGAATCTCTGCTGGTCGAAAGCTCTTTGTTACTTGTTCTAGACTCCCGGTAGACATGTACCCTACCGCTTCCAGCTTTCAGCCGATGAAATTCTAACCGAATTTGAAACGATTGTATCCTCAACGCCGAATCGAAGCTGTTCCGTACCCGAGTCATCAATTATTTCTCGACATCGTTAGCAGAGGGCAAGAATGGCTCGTACTAACCTGAGATGGAGTTCCTTGGCCCAGGGCATGGTGCTGTTTGGTCTCATGGCAACGAGAGTAATGGGAGGGCAGATTCTGAAGACCAGCGGCTTCAGCGACTGTGGCTCTGATTCGACCATTAAAATCGACAAGATTAATATCAGCTACAACAACGAGAACAAAACCGTGAATTTTGATCTCGCTGGCTCTAGCAGCAAGGAACAGAATGTAACGGCGATACTCGACGTTACTGCCTATGGTAACACGGTGTACTCTAAAAGCTTCAATCCCTGCGACAAGGGCACATTTGTTGAACGCCTATGTCCTGTGCCCGTGGGCCAATTTGCCGCTCAAGGGAACCAGCAGATTCCTTCCGAGTTTGCTAACATGGTGCCTGGTATTGCCTTCCAGATACCCGATATTTCTGCCCACGCGACTTTGCGATTGATGAGCCAGAACGGCGATAAGGTCGCCTGTATTCAATCCGATGTTTCGAACGGCAAAACCACTGATATTCCCGCCATATCTTATGTGGCCGCCGGTGTTGCTGGCGCCGCCTTGATCATGTCAGGAGTGTCGGCTGTTGGTGCTGCACTGTCTGGTGGTAGTGCTGCACTTGGAAGTGGCTCTGGCGGAGCCATGGGCTCAATTAGCCCAAGCTTCGGGGAGACAATTGGGTGGTTTCAAGGCATGGCAATGAACAGCATGTTGTCAGTCGACTATCCTCCTATCTATCGAAATTTCGCCAAGAATTTTGCATTCTCCGTCGGTATTTTTCCGTGGTCGGGGATGCAGTCCACAATCGATAACTTTCGATCTAAGACGGGTGGTAACTTGACCCAAGACAGCTTCTCGTACCTTCAAAATGCCACGCTGGTCTTCCCAGATGGTTCAACAAGCAGCCCAAACAAAGGGCTATTCAATTTCAAGCGTGCTATCGACGACTTTGTGGACCTCGCCAACAGGGCAGTTGATACTTCTGTCAACTCGACTGACCCTGTTGGCAGCAGTGACTCGAATGACCTCCAACACAAAGTGAAGGGTATTCAAGCCTTTGCTGAGAAACTTCTCGTTCCGAAGTCGAACATATTCATGACGGCCTTGCTAATTGTGGCCATTATCATCGCCGCCATTGTCGTTGGCATTCTCCTTGTCAAGGTTATTCTTGAAGCCTGGGCTCTGTTTGGCAGCTTTCCAGAGGGCTTAAGAGGCTTCCGAAAACACTACTGGGGCTCTATTGCTCGTACTATTACCTCTCTTATCTTACTACTCTATGGCATATGGGTACTTTATTGCGTATTTCAATTTACCCATGGCGACAACACGATCGCAAAGGTTCTCGCCGCTGTTACCCTTGCCATTTTCACTGGCATCTTGGCCTTTTTCTCATGGAAGATTTGGTCAGTTGTGCACAAGCTCAAGAAGCAGGATGGTGATGCGGCTGCCATGTATGAGGACAAGAAAATCTGGGTCAAGTACTCTTTGTTCTACGAATCATATAAGCGACAGTACTGGTGGCTGTTTGTTCCAGCCATTTTTTACATGTTTGCCAAGGGTGTTGCAATTGCTGCTGGAGACGGCCACGGCATGGCCCAAACAATTGCGCAACTGGTCATTGAGGCACTTATGCTTTGTTTGCTCTTATGGAGTCGGCCTTTTGAGCGTCGTTCGGGCAACGTCATCAACATCGTCATTCAAGTCGTGCGCTTCTTGTCGATTGCTTGTATTTTGGTCTTTGTGCAAGAGTTTGGAATCAAACAGACGACACAAACCGTTGCAGGTGTGGTACTCATTGCAGTACAAGCTACGTTAACAGCAGTGCTCGCAATTCTCATTGCTTGGAATGCCATTAATGCCTGCTGCAAGATGAATCCGCATCGGAAGAGGAGAAAGGAGGCTGGTATGTCACATTCCTCTGTATAGAAGCTTTATTTCTAGCCTATGCTAACCATTTCACTCAGAACAACTCAAACGCGACATGGATAACCTCACACCTCTTGACGCCCGTAATTCCCTGCTCCTTGACCGGGCACCGATGCCAGAGAAGTCAATGTTTGCCGTCTCCAGTGATTTGAACAAGAAGGGCCATTTGCGGAATGGCTCTGCCGAGCGGTTCTACCCAGGCGGTGGCGATATAAGACCACCTGTTGCTCCTTCTGGCGGCCACATGTACCGACCCCTTACACCAACTATCGCGAAAGACTCCCAGAGCCTTTTGGATGGAGCTGCGCCAATTGGCACATCAGATCGACAACCCACTGTGCCCAATGTCGACGGGGAGTATCATGGAGCGTATGGCCCATCCACTACATACGGCAACGGAGGAGGTTACAATCGTCGATTCTAATGTATGGTCATGCCTGATGAAAATCGTGAGGCAATAGATATGGGAATGAGTCAAACGAAATCTTCCCTTTGCCCCGTGTTCTCCGTTCTTCAGTGGGCTTGGTTTGACAGTACCTTGCCGTTTAAAGGATATTTAGCCTTGTTGCCCCCCATTTGTTTCTTATTTGGTTGTTTTAATCTCTCTCCTTACCTTTACATAACCACCCACTTTCAACGACCATTGTCCGACGACTGACCTATCCTTGAACACCGCCCTGCATCGAAATAGCGTATATAAACATTGACATCTAAATTGCGGAAAGTATAGAAAACGTAGCGGTATGCATAGCGCACAGACACAATTACATTTATTGGAGCTTGGATAGGGTTTTGTACAAAGATGATAGATGTAGTAAAAAAACGCCCTTATTCTTTTTGGAAAGGCTAGATGAATTAATTGCATGCATACGGTATGAATCAATTGACGTGCTTGCTGTTTGGTGATGAGAAGGACTTGGGTAAAAGGCTTATAGTGATTGTAGCTACCGAGGTATGTTTCGAATGCGATTGTGTCGACTTGAGAGTGTCTACTACATGACAGGATATTTGAAACCAATGGGGTGTAAAATGTCTATGTAAGGAATTATGCTCCTCCTCCGTTACTTCAACCATGATGATGAGATGATCTGTAGGCCCAGACCCCAAATGTCTATGATGATAGCGCCAGACATGCATCAACCGCCAAGCCAACCCTGTTACATGACCACATTAGCACAAGTTCTCCGTCGAAAACAGGGCGCTGGAACGTCTAGAAGGATGAAGTGCACTTACCTTCCCTGTTTCTGGTAAACGACATCGCTAATGACATCTTTATCGAGATCAGGAAACATGCCCGCCAGTGTCTCCACAACATTTGCGTGTTCGGCACGATGAAGGCGCTGGGCCTCTGCTGCCTCGGCGCTTGCTTGTCTCGCGGCCGCTTCTTCAGCAGGGAGCGCGTGCTTGGCCAGCAACAGCTCTTGTTGGCGTCGCGAAGCAGCATGTTCGTCGCGGTAGTTGGATCGGGGGGGTTGGCGATCCGGCGGAGCTGGAGACCGGGTCGCACTCCCGGGGTTAGAGGAGGAGCCATTTTCGTCGGAGAAGATGCGGCCAATTGTGCTGAGGGGTTTCTGAATGGTTCGGAGGAGGCCGCTAATTGCTGCGCCATCTTGGGCTTCGCCTTCGTAGGACGAGGTTGAGCGCCGGGGGGTTGAGCCCTCTGCGCCGCCGTCCGTGGAGGGACGCCCGCTTGATCCGCTGCGGTGGATGCCGGTTTTTTCGTTGAATGTTGCCTGCTGCTGGATGATGGGGGATGCGGCTTGATGTTTTTCTGCGATGGCTGATACGGCTGCCTCAACGTTTCTTTCAAACTCGTCGTCGGATATTGTGAGTGATGATCGGTCCATGTTCTCGATGAATTGGATGGCGCCCATCTGTGGGAAACCTGTGTTAGCAATTTTGGAGGGAGCAGGCATGTAGGCTGCTGTGAAACATACCAGGGATGACAAGTAGTAGCCAGCCTCGCCGCCGAGCTTCTCCTGATTTCTGAATCGCAGGATGTACTGCACATTGGAAACCAGATGCTCTGGGTTGGATTGCAGCACAACATAAATCAGTAGCGGCATGAATGAATCTGCTGATGAGTCGGACTTGTTGTGTTTCAACAGACCTGTCAGAATTAGCAATCGAGTAAACACCTTGTGGTGATTACGTTCTGGAGGCACCTCACCAAATATCACCTTGGAGCAGTTGAGAACACATATAATTTTGTCTCGTGGCGCTCTATATGATTTGATTTTTAAGAGTTCTGAAGAGAAAGAATGAACCAAGACGTCAGAAAGGACCTTTGTGCCAATGACCTGCATAGAGACGAGCCATACCTTGCTGAGCTAGCTTCAAAAACCGGCGACCGCTGTCACCTACGGGTGGAATATCCAGATGCTCCAACTTCACCCATCCATAGATGTTGATCTTCTGCGTTAGAACCTCATCGCGCTCGACATCTTCTTGGTGTTGTCCCCGACGGCCCGGTCCTAAAGGTACATCTCCGCCTCTCCGTCTTGGTTTGGCACCAGGGATGGGCTTCGGAGGCGCAATCGCAGGGGAAAATGTCTGCGTATATAATCGATTCATGACTAATTTTTCCATCCCCTCGCGGGCATTGTCGAATTCAGCGTCGGATACATCCCTCCAGACGTCGCACAACATCATCTTATTGGCAATGAAGGCCAGGAAATCGCTGGTAATCTTAACCTGCTCGTGAACCATCCACTGTTTCTTACCAAATTCAGACAAGAACGACTTGAGATACCTTGCAACTGGATCGGCCTTCTTGTTCCGTAGCTGTTCTAAGAACCTGTGAAAATCGAAGGGCAGTGCCGGTTCCGGTTCTGGATCAGGCGGAGGTGGCCGATGCATAGATAGCTGCGGAGAGGTGGGCGACGTGATGCTGGATGGCCGCCCGTCCTCTCGTGTCCTAGGAGGAGTCCCAAAGGCACCGTCCTTGGGGGGGACGGGGGGCCCTTGGTCATCGATGGCTCGTTCCTTGGACCGTACACTAGACGGAGACGAGGAAGACATCCGCAAGGCGCTGAAGTCTTGGAGCGGGCTCGGTATCGACTGCGAGAGGGGCTCTAGGCTCGACTGCCGTGGTGGATGCGGAGCAGGCCCAGAGAGAATGGGAGAGGCAATTTCCAAGCGCGGGCTCATGACTTCGTCTACACCAGGTCCACCACCTGCCTCGCTGAACTGCTCCATGATGCTCTGTATTTCGGACCGAGAGCCGCCATCTTGCTCGTCTTCACTTGTAAACCTCTTTTCTTCATCTGCACCCTCGGATCTTGACGGTGAGGGTTCGTCAGATCGGTGGGATCTTGCAGTGGTGGAGGAGCTCCGCGAAGGTGGCTGCGAGGTCATGGGAGTTGCGGGTGTGGGATCGACGTAGGCCGACTGCTCGGCCGTAAGATATTGGGCATCATTTTCGGTTTTATGTGACGACGAGGTCGGGGCCTTTATCGTGGCCACAGAAGAGGTCATGACGTCTGGTGCGTCAGGCTCACGGAGCTTCAATGGTACTGGGACCTGCTTCCCGGTGGCGGGGCTTGAAGATTCGGACAAAGCTTCAGCGGAGGGAGCATGCTGTTCTGACCCCCTTTCACCGGAAGCAGAAGCATGCCCTTGCTCGTCATCTTTGTTCTTGGAGCCGTGTTGCTTGTTCCCGACAACGGCTGGCCCAACGACATGGTGGGCTGGGGAGTCGGGGGTCTGTCTTGACTCTACATTTTCTTTGATAGTTGCTGCATCTCTGCTGCCAGGTTGGCTAGTAACCTCTTGGCCCGTGGGCTCCTCCAGCGGCGACATGCACGGCGTTGGATGATCGTAGTGGTCGTGTTCAGTCGGAGAGGGTCAAGAAACGTCGAGGTCGGTGAGGTTACTGAGCTCGCGGATATGGGATACGGAGGCAGTTGGACTCGGTAGCAGACGGTAGAGAAGCTAAGAAGACATCGGAAGGTGGGTATATCTAGGTTGGGTCCGGGACTGAGAATGGCGAGCTGGCGGTGCAGCGTTCGACTGTCGGCGGGCTCGATGAGATGGATGATGGTGTTGGCCAAGGTGGTTGACGATTGATGATAGATAGCTCGCGCGTGGACGAGTGCAGCCAAGTCGGGCCACGCGCAGCCACTGGTGTGGATAGTGGAGGCGGCACTGGGCGCATCAGCGGACGTCAGCGAACGTCAGAGGACGCAGAGCATTGATGTCAGAGCATCTCAGTGGGCGTCCGGTGGATTGACATCAGTGGGCCGCGGGGTCAGCAGCGCCTCAATCCTCCGGATCCCTCGACATTGAATTGGTCAACGCTCATGATTCTCCATTGCTCCACCGTCTCCTCGGCTTCTCACTCGAGGCGTGCCGAACCGCATCTTTTGTTCAAAGTGTGACTTGGATCCAGCGCGCGGTTTCACACGGTTTCGAGAGTCAGCAATCACATTTATGCAAACACAATATTCATTGAAGACTGGTCACGTCACCCAAGATGCTAGCTACACTTGCATCACGGTGGTGTGCCACACGAACACTTCTATAATAGTACTTACTAGGTACCTATCCGGTGCCTACTTCCCCTATTTGCTACCTAGGTACTAGGTAGGTAGTTACTCAGTAGTAAATCTGGACGTTACTTGACTTGACGCTAGCGTGGCTCCATGTCCATCGCATCTACCGGCCGCCACAGCCTTTAGTATGGACGTCGTGACGTGCTGGCTTTGGCTTTGGCTTTGGCTTTGGACATGGTTTGGCATCTCGCCTCCTCTTATTTAATTCAATTTCAACAGGCCGGCCACTCTGCAAAATGATGAGCATATCATGACGGATTTTTGCTCTTGCACAGTCCTAGCAGTGGAAAAATTTTTTTAATTAGGCTTGCACATGTAGAAATTCCCCGCCCTATTCGAAATTCTCGAATCCAATTGAATACCAACCCTTTTCCAAGTTTATGCCAGTTGCTATACGCGTACATCCCCAAGAAAAGTAACATGACTGATTTCCTTCACCAAAACACACAATCTCCGTTTCATGGCGGAAGTACTTCCCTGGCCGACTCAGCAATCATCATGAAAGCCCAAGCTTTACAACTCAGCCTCACAATCGCCAGCCGAGGCGTTTTCATGACGCCGAGTTAGTCACATCACTTGACAGGGTATGAAAACAAGCTCTCCCAGTTCAATCTAATCTATCCCAACTCACCGACTGAGAACCAACAGCTTTCAGTAAATACTACTCACAATAAATTCACGGCAACCCAACAATGGCTTCAACCCCCCCGTATCGCCAAATACGGGCAACATACACACCCGACACCATCACTGTCTACCAAGCGTATAAACGCTCCATCGCCGATGCCGCAGTGGAGCACCAGAAGCTCGATGCCTCTCCAGACTTTCGTCCCGGACGGATGACTTGGGTCAAGCCCAGCTGGGGCTGGATGATGTACCGCGCAGGGTATTCGTACAAGGACCCCGGGCAAGAGCGCATTTTGGCGTTACGCATGAAACACGAGCTTTTCGTAGCGCTGCTCGAGAAGGGCGTGCTGTCTGCGCACACTGAGCGGATTGGTGGTGGCGGTGGTGAGCAGGGCCCGCGCGATAAGCCGAGTGAGGTCAGGATTCAGTGGGATCCCGAGCGCGATGAGAGACTGCGGGCTTTGCCGTACAGGAGTATACAGATTGGCATCCCGGCGTCGCTGAGTCAAAAATGGGCAGAGGAATGGATCACTGAGATTGAGGACGTCACCGAGAAAGCGAGAGGCCTGAAGGCGGTCCTGGATGAGAGAGGCGACGTCACGAGGGAGGAGCTGGTGGATATGGGATATGTTCCTGAGGAGAGAGTGTTTGAGGTTAGCCAAGATATTAGGGAGAGGTTGGCAATGGATCTAGTTGGCTCATAGATGCTGGATTTACTTTGTAGCCAAGGGTCAGTCGGGCTGCACAAATGTATATATACCTAGGTAAATATGTGTATGTTTGCGTAGTATACGCGGTAAAAGCAGAAGATAAAAAAAATGAGCCTTGTAAGGAACTCTACCAAGCAGCAAAACTCCTGTGCAGCAGTAGAGTGTATTCGGCCATGGGAAATACAACTGGCAAGACACTGTATAACCCAAATTTACAGCTATATCCTATTGTGTCAAGGACTTTTGGTTCTTTGAGCTCATCCACGGCCGGAATGGGATTCTGCTCAAAGTTGATTCCGTACGAGCGCTCCACGGCACTGCCCTTCATGCCGATGAAGTATTGCCACGTCGGAGAGCGGGGTCGGACGCTAAGGGAGAGTTTGTTCAGCGGGTGATGCACTTCAGGATGGAACACGATGCCGCTAGGAGGGCGGGCGGCGGTATACTTGTGCGGGATGAAGATCTGGACAAGCTCAGGTTGCTGCAGCGTCGACCCGGTTCCCGAACCGGTACACAATAACGTGGCCAATTCGTCCGGGAGGACCACATTGTTCATAATGGATAGGCCGAGTATATCGGGCCGAATGCGAGCCATGTCCGCGTTATTGTCCCATGCCGTTCGCTGGAGTATAATTACAGGACTTAGGGACGAACTCGACCGCTCTCGTGCCATATCACAGTCCAGAAAAGTGAGGAAATTAGTACGCGATGTGTCTTTTGGAAAGGGCGTCACGAAAAGATCCAAACGCAGTCCTCTGTTCGAGACAGTGACTGTCCGATTTGAACTCCGCGTGAGATATCTTGATCGACGGGGAATCATGTCGTTGTAGTTGCCGAATGCAGCAGGGCTGTCCGCCAGGAGCCCCCAGAACTGACGCTTGCCTGCTATTTCGATGGGACAGCTCCACGCATAGAGTGACTCGTCGTCGGTGGACTTTATGATCTCGTCTTGAAGGCGTCTGAATGCCTTGGTGGCACCCTCGCCGTACAGAAGCGGCATGTTGATGTCAAAGATGCCGAGGAGACAGTATGAAGCGTCCTCTTCCCGTGTGGTGGTTCGGTTCGGTTCGCAGCCCAGCTCATTCTTGCGCAACCGAAATCCCATCAAGGCGCTGGCGACATTGTGGACCGCCGTCATTTGGTGCTTTGAGCACATCCTTTGGTATCCCTGTGATATCGTGGATGAGCTCCCTGAGCGAATCTCTCGTGAATTGCTCTTCCCAATGCGAATCGTAGAATATGACTTGACGAGGGGCAATGGGTTCCTGCAAAGTCCATCCTCGTGTGAACCAGCGACTGGATCGAAACGTCGTTGAGTCCGGAGTGTCTGCCGCCGCGTTCCAGTCAGACAAAAAGGCGAGGCACAGGCGAGGCACAGGCGAGCTTCTTCATACCATCTGAACATGGAATTGATGGCTTCGGAAAGCTCTGCACTGCTGGATTTGTCGATGCAACATGTGTCAATCCATATGAAGTCCAAGTCTAGGGATTTTGCTACGGCGCAGCTTTTCTGTATCTTGTCCCATCCTCTCTTCTTGCGAGCGTCGTGCCTCCGCAACTGGGACAAGTCGTTGAAGGTGATTTCTTCGTCAGCCCAGGTGTGCGATAGAATGGCGTATGGCGGGACTTGGTCATCTGGGATAACGCATAGCTCGAGTGAAGGGACGTGCAGTAGCCTCATGACCTCATGGGCAATGCTCGTTGTTGAGCTGAAGCTGCGGACGGCACTTTGTTGGAACTTGGAGGTTAGCCAGGCAAACAGGGTGCACCGACACATACACAGCCCGGCTCGGGCCAATGTCCGTTGGCGTGGTATTTGTAGCAACGCGGCAAATATTGATACAAGCCAGGGAAGAGTATGAGATAAAAGCACCACAGTCAAGCCTCATCAACATCATCATCACTTATTTATTTGATACACATAGCCAACTTCGGCTGGGCCCCGGATTACGAAAGCTCCTTCCGAAGAGCGGGCCATGGCCGACAAAGGCACCAAAGGGCACCACCCAAAGGCGCCTCCCTCGCGATCGCTGTCCTGTCAAACCTCGTTCGTGGCATGAAGTGAAAATCGACGAAATATACTATATTCCCTGACCCGAGAATTCCATAGAACGCCAGCGCCTGTATATATACGAACGTAGTAGCTGAAAAGAAAGATCTATAGGGCGATTGCGCCTCTTCGGTTCTCGCGGACGTGCAGCAATCCCTGGAAACCACAAAACACAAGGAAAACCTAATAGCAAGGTCAGCACAAGTGGCACAGGAAGAGTTTGAAGGTAGAAATCGAGGGTCCCGTACTGCGTAGACAATGACGGCTGTGAAGATGGTTCCAGCTACAGCCTTGCCTTCGTCGGGGCTGGGGTCGGCAACGCCTCCAACAAACTCCTCATGCCCACTGCGGTATAGCCCGGCGAGGGCGCTGAGGATGATGATGGCAAAAACAGAGATGATGGTGCTGCAGGCGGAAACTCGGCGTTAGTTTAACTGCTGAAGGCGCGGGCCCAGCGACAGAGAGCGTGAGCTGTTTCTTCGGGTGAGGACATACCACGACCAAGCGTGCATGGCACTGACGACGGGCTTCATGACGGGTAGTGGTGGCGCAAGCGCGTCTATTCGACTGATGGGAAGTGAATGGCCGTCGAGGTGCTTCGGCAGAATTGGGTGATACCGACGTATTGCTGTCGCGGGCGATGCTGATGGCTTTCTGAGCTATACACAGTGGTGATCTCGGTTGGTACGTGATCGCTTTGCTTGCCTGAAGGATTAGGCCGACCTAGGGCAGCAAGCCACAGGTAGCAGCTTGATCAAGCCACATCCTGAACTTGCGCCACATGCATACTCTTTGATCCATACTATCTGTACGCAAGTATCTTACATCAACCCACGATGGAGATTTGCCGTCTTTGAACAGATTCATTATCTACTTTCCCGCTATCTTACTCATCTTCGCTTTATTGTTTTCTCTAGCGCCTCTTAGAAAACTTTCTATCTTCTCGTCCGTTTCCGTGCCTGCCTGCCTGCCTGCCTGCCTGCCTACCTATACATCGGATGGAGCCATAATCGTTTGTGCGTCTGCCGGAAAGTTCAGGTGAGAATAGCTCAGAAGCCATCTACCTGTTCGTGTACGATGCAATACGCTCATCCAACATCCCAACTCGTGTTGCGAAACCTCCCGGCACAACTCATAACCATCATGTATCATGATGGATTTTCAGCTTCAGATGGGATCGCATCTAGCCACGGCCTCACGATGTTTCTGTGTATCCACGAAACAACATGGCGGTTGTGGTAGGATCTCAGGGTAGCCTCAAATCTCATCTTACGACACGAAACGATTCACAGTCAGATAGCTGCCGGAAATCACGGCAAAGAAAATCTTCTTATTCTGAACCGTTCAACCCCCAGGGAGCGGGTTGCGGCGATCCGTGCGGACCCTGAAACACCAAACTAAACAACTCTACTACTACCTTGCCCATCCATGGACCATGGTTCAGGTGCACTGCCGAGTCCCGGCAGCTGTTCCAAACAAGTGGTTCATTTCGCCGAGAGTTAATCTGCTGGCGCCACGCCGTCTCTCCGCCGTCTCTCCGCCGTCTCCTAGATTTATAGCGGTTGGAAGTGGATGCTATCGACAACAGCAAACGTCTCACTAGGACGTCGGGCCTGACACAAGGTTCCAGTAGAATGGAAACGAGACCTCAGGGCTGGATTGATTGCCGTATATCCGTGACAAGCCCCGGCTGCTTTTCATCATTACCGCAATTGTGTGTAGAACAGCTGGCGCGATGCTACAGAGTACACACACACACACACTGCTATCTCGGCTACCGGACCTCGTATGGCAGCGAGCAAACACAGAAACACCCCCTTTGATTCGTCCCGTTTTAGAATGTCGTGCTTGTTTGCTAGTCTTTGTAGCTATCGGCCTCGGAATGCTGCTACGGTTTGTCGACGTGTTAGAGACCTTTTGTGCCTGCGACTGACGAACCCATCAACGCAGTCCACCCGGTACAATTTTAGAAGAGTGCAGGGCTGAATCGGGAGTGCGGACTGTGCGCCAGTGACTCAAGGCGTTGATTTATAAAACAAAGAAGTGCCCATCTCGGGCCCATGCGATTTCCTTATGCATGTTGTTGGCCTTTGTTTGGCGTTTCCAATCGTTGCCCATTTCGTGCATCCGCCCGTGCTTTGGTTGAATTGTCTTTGTGTTATTATTGTCAACAATCTAACATGCCTGGATGCACATTTCAGCATTTCAGCCCTGCAAACCATACTACACGCTGATTTCGCACTCTCCGGTTCATACTACGTACCAGGCTGGATCCAGGATCTGCTTCATCTGTTTCTTTTCTTGGAGTTCCCCAAGACCTATCATTAGTGTCTTGTATTGCGCCAAGTTTTCCGCCTTCGTGATATATAAACTGTTGGCAGTCAAGCATTGTCTAGGAAACCCCGAGATACTCTGAATCCAACTTGGGTGCACATCACACGCAGTCATTGCTCAAACTCCTACAATCTCTCTTCGGTATAACAAAAACAACAACAAAAAGCGCACAAAGATGCGAGTCGCAGCGGCAGTGGCAGCTCTAGTCGCTGCAGTGAACGTTGCGCTCGCCGCGGACCCTGCACCAGAGGTCAAAGGCAACCCTCGCGATGTGATCTACACGGCTACACTTCCGCAGGATCCCTTTTTCCACGCACCAGAGCTTGATGGGAACATTAGAGGCTTTATAAGTGCTGCCGCGCCCCCTGACGGCGTGGGAGTTCGATTCACTGCGCGATTTGAGAACTTGCCCAAGACAGGCGGGCCTTTTGGTTAGTACACGTCCAAAGACCGAAGGCAAAGTCTATTTGCCGTGTTGAAACGTTACGGATTTACTGACTGGAAAGCAGCTTACCACCTTCATGTCAACAAAGCAAGTGGCGGTAACTGCACCGCAACGGGCGCACACTTGGACACCATGAAGCGTGGTGAGAAGCCGCCTTGCGATGCTGGCGATCTTCCGTCGTGCCAGGTTGGAGATCTCGCTGGAAAATATGGCAAGATTACTAGCGACCCGTTCATTGTCGAGTACGTTGATAAGTTCGTATCCCTGAAAGAAGGCGATGCTGCCTTCTTTGGGAATCGATCTTTTGTCATCCACCTCGCCAACTCGACTCGAATCACTTGTGCCGACTTTGTCAAGAATGAGCCCAACGTTCCGACTATTGTATTACCCGGATCTAGTAGTTCCACGAACAATAGTACCTATACCCAGACCACGACAACTACTGATACTCAAGCCTGTGCTTGCAGTGACGAGCAAACTTCCAGTACAACAACACATTCTACTACAGCTACGGCGACGACGGCGACGACCAGCACGTCCACTACATCAACAAAATCTACGCCGACAGGCACAGGGGTTTCCTCTAGCGGGGTTGTCATGCCTACCCCGACGGTCGTTATCGCAGCTGCTGGCAGGAGGGTACCGGGGCCGTTGCTGTGGTGGGTGGGAGGCGTGGCGCTGGTGATCTTTTCTCATTAGTCCGCAATTTTTCCTTGCAGAATTTCCTCAATGTATAATATAGACACCGTGTAATTTATGTGGATGTGAGAGAAAGGGTGGCGTAAAACTAGACGCTCGATGTTAATCTTGGAACGTAATGACAGAAAAAGATATTGCTCACATGTCAGGACTGCGAATCAAATGATCGTATTCATGTGAGATGTTTCTCGAGTGCAGAAACAATGCAATGTCTATCAACATCAAGTGCGGCCCTTTATTTGAGCCTGGACCATATCTCGCCTCAAACACGCCCGAGTCTCGTTTCAAAGGGAAAGACAAGACAGTTCCCGGTATTAGCGATAGCCATCAGTCAATGGACAAAGAATAAGAATACCATTCAAGTTTCATACCATATAATAGAACACACACTCGGGTCGAGAATTCCTACTTCACATGGAGCATTCGACGTGCAAGTGGGAAAGAAGTACTTGAAAGTTGGGATAACCTCACCAGATGATGGTGTAAACACGCCGCACGTGATTTGCATCCCACCTTTGAGAGCTCCCTTCCCGACTTATGTTGACCTTCCGCGCCACATGGTCAATTTATTCTTTCGCTTTTTATTTCTTGGGTGTCTCTTCTTCTTCTTCTTCTTTTTCTAGATATTCCATTATTCTTCTTACAGAATCATTTATGTCATTTATATTCTGTGACATGTATATCATCAAGTTCACATCCATCGATTTGACTTCCACATTAATACTCGCTCTTCATCTTTGGAGTTTACCTTCACCCGAAATTGCGCCACGTTGAAATACCGAAACCTCAGCTACATGCCAAAAAAATATTCTACGACACTAATCGTTCTCAGAATGACCAAATCCTCCAAGATAGAGAGGCCGTTCAGCAATATTGAATTGGGAAGCGATGGCGATGCTTCTTCGCCTACCAAGATGGGCGCTCCATCTGACAAACTTGCTCCATCTCCAGTGCCATCTACTACGAAGGGCTTCAAATTAGAAAAAGACGTCTCTGTAACGCCTCCGTCGACCTGCCTCATAATTTCCCGCAACAAGTGAGTTGTACTCTCCCAACATGTCTGCGAGTGCAACCTTTGCACCACAGTTCAGGTGACAGTGGAATGTCTCCCTCTAGACGATTTCTAACTTAAAAACTCTAGGCATTGGCGTCATATATCGTCTTTTCATGGGCCATGGCTCCAATTGCCCACCAAGATCCTGGAAACCATCGCTCACATAAATTACAACACCCCTCGTCCTCGTCCCGTTGACCCGGCAGTTGTGTTTGATGTCCTGAAAATTCGCAAGGCTGTCGACGAAGCGACTGACTTTGCCCTGGGGGCTGCAAGTGATTCAGCCCCTTCGACGCTTGTCAATGTGAACGGAGGTGCTCTGAAATTTAACCCATTCAGCCACGGTACAAAGCTGAGTAGAGATAGAAAATTACGCATCAGAGCTCAGGCATGCCAGAAACTTGCCCATGCATATCGATTGGACGAGATAGCTTGTAGCGTTGCAGCAATGCAACGCTCATCTGCTTTGGAAGAAGTCGGTGGTCTGGTATTGCAGCGAAACCGGGATGACCTAAACGCCAAATATGTCCACTTTTTCCATGAAAAGATTCCGTCGAAGCAATTGGTCGAGACTACAAGTCTTTCAGCTTTGACTGACATAATTGAATCGGCACATTACCAAGCAGAAGCCCTTCGTACTCGGGCGGCGGTCAAAGCTTTCCGACATGAGTTTGATGGTGCAATACAAGATCTTACGGCGGCGCTGGCGCTGGCCCTACAGAGGCACCATGTTCAGCCTCATAACTCAACCCAGAGCCATTTGGGCCCTCGGAAGACCCAGTCTCACGGTAAAGAAAGAAGCAAGGACATTCTTCTCCCAGAAAAAGACCAGCCAAGTGGTCTTGTGGCACAGCTGCTCTTTCAACGAGCTTCGGTAAACATCATGATGGCTTGCCAGCATGTCGATAATAGCATTAACCCTTCACCACTTCACAAATCTCAAGGCGAGAATGGAAATCCGAACACAACACTCAAAGGTGTTAGCGAGACACAAGACGTGTCAAACGAGCGGCTTGAGCATCGAAGGCTTGTGAAAACTCTGGCTAAACGCGCATTGAAGGACTACACCTCCTTCCTCTCTTACTTTGACTATTCTCCTAATCTGTCAAAAGCGACTCTCTCCGAGTTCAACGACCGCGTGGCGCAGGCAGCGAAAGGTATTGGCAAGCCTCCCAAGTCGTTCGAACAAAAGCACGTTGTATACCGCTTATCGGACCTCTTTGCGGCCGTGCCGCCTCCGCATCTTCCTCCACATGCTTTTCAAGAAACTAGGGTCCGGGATGAAGCCAGAATTGCTGTGCAAACAGGCCCAGAGCCGGATACAAGCGAAGCAGTCACATACCATCCCCTCTTAACTGAAGCTTTGCATTCCTTACTACTCTGCCACTGTCTTGTGCAAACGTCGGTAAAGGAACTGCAACGTCATGCTTACATGGTCGCCCGTCTCGTGCGATTATGCGACGGGTATCCCGTATTTCACGCCACCCGATCACCAGCCCGGTCTGACTGGGTAGAAGTCCTCCGCCGGACTAAGGACTGGCTTCTCCTAGGCTCAACCTGGGAGGCTCTATGCAAGCCTGCCCCCTTGGATGGCAAGGCGGCAAACGACTTACTATCGGCAGCTGCCACCTCCCTTCTAAGAGAAGCTGATGCAGAAACATTCTCCCCAGACAATCGAAAGTTCAGGCCTTTGGAGACCTCATCTCAAGCAGGTGCTCTAGACCGAACAATTAACCTTGTACCCCTAACATCATCCACATCATCATCCAAACACGACCCCTTTCGGCACTGGAATTCCGATGACGAAGCCAAGGACTTTCCGTTCCTTACAGGGAGAACAACAGCTATTGTACGCTGGATCCAGGAAGTGCCTGTAGTGACAGGCACAGCAAAGAGAAAGAAGCGGCCTAAAAAGGCAAGTGTCAAAGCCGACACGGTGGAGGCCGACATGAGCAGGTTGGACATGAACGGATAAATGAGAATACCGTCAGAGTGACATCTTGGCTGAGGGTATTCGCAGTATTCGGCTTTCAAAGATTTAAGTACATGCAAAACAACGGATCGGCACAGCGTTTGAACTTTTGGGAGACTCTATGAATATGTGACTGCCATGAATTTGTCTTACTGTGCACGTCCGCACGAGTTTCCATATTTGCAATGCATCTTCCTTTTCTAAAATGTCTTGGGTTACTCTGGGTATATAACAATATCCCTTGCCATCCAATAAACGCCCGCTCACTTTCCCTAACACCACTCGTCATTTCAATGACAATAATGTTGTCTCAAAAGCCAAAAAAGAGTCCGGTACAAAACTAGGCGACATGCTTGAGAGAGAAATTACATGCCGTAATTGCAGTAATTCCGGCAACTCGCTCTCCTTGGTGGTACTTCTAACACCATCTAACATCTGCCATGTTGTTTCCAGCATTCAAAAAAGCATCAATGTCTCCGATACCTTCTGTTTCCAGCGCATTCATCAGCTCCAATTGCTGCGAGTGAGTAAGACTGCCTTGTCTCCCGGGAATGAAGCCGTACTGGCCAGGGGCATCAAACCCAGTGGCCATGTTCTGCAGCCCACCAAGGCTACCAGTTGGCACCTCGGCAAAATTATTAGGCATTGCGTCGTTGAAACAGTTGCTACTCATAGGTCCAAAGTTGTACGGCGAGATAAAGGGAGCTGGAGGGGAGAACCAATCAGCAGCGGAAGTAGTGGCCGGCAATGGCCGCTGGGGCACCGATGGCCTTGTCGTGGTGAAGTTGGGCGTTAATTGAGTTGGCTGCCCACTTTGCGGAGGTGAAATGTGGTCTTGCATCGGCACAACACGAGGTGCAGATGAAGCGTCGGATAGAGCCGACGGCTGCAATGGCAGATTTTGCGGCGATAGCGTGGTATTGGGAGTGGCGGCCGACATGGTGCCAGTCGGGATCGAATCAGGTGGCGTCGGGATCTGCCTCGACTGGTCTACAGAAGGCGAAGTCGTCTGATTGTGACCTACTACAGAGTGGGCAGGATGATCTTCTGGTGAACCCTCGGGCGGGAAGTATGAGAATCTCCTCCCGTTTGCATCAGTAGCAGGATTGCAGAAAATTGAATTAGATCTGAAAGTCGGCTGAGGTGGCGGGTAGTTCGGATCAAAAGTATATGCATTCATAGACTCTGGCGGTGAATCGAATACAAAGCCAAATTGGGGAGGATTCAGGTACGGGAGTTGTTGAGAAGGCCCAGTCTGCACATAGCTGTCGGGTGATGACTGTGGCTCAGCGACCGACGATGGACTGGCGAAGGAGAACATTGGATGCTGGCTGTCAGGAGCTCTATCGTAGCTTTGCAGACAGGCATTGGAGATGACGCTGTATAGTTGGGCCGTATAACGAGTGCCGGGCCATCGTTCTGCGCACTTTTCGAGACATGCCAGCGCTCTGGCTACAAGATCCTCCACTTCCTGTCGAGAATGGGCCTGCCGAACTTCCGGGTATGACGTTGACCATAGAATGACATTTAAACACGAAGTGAGCATAAGTAGTAGCAGCCAAGTGACGCTGAAGAACCCGCTGCTCATTTGCTTTTCCGCCAGGTTGATAGCAAAGGTAGAGCTCTCAAAACAAATCGTAGCTGCCCGTGCGGAGGGCTGGGGAACTTGCGGCGAAGGTCGGTAGAGAACCACCCGAGTATGGTGATAGAAGGTGGCACACCTGTTGCATCTGTTAGCACAGACATTACGTAAGAAGTCCAAACAGAGATAGGTATACCATGAAGGGCCCCATTGGATATTCCTGGGCGCAGCATCCAGCCAAGACTTCATCTTCTTTTCTATACTATTGAACCAGGGATGTGAGTCGTTATTTGGTTCGGGTCGCTTTTGCTCGTACAGAGTTCTTCGAATTTCTGCTTGCAATTCTCGGCATTGATAGAAGTGAGCAGCGAAAACCTTCCGTGGACTGGTAGGGCCTGCACTGATTCCATTTGCCGTGATGTGCTCATCATCAACAGTGGAAAAGATGGACACATCCACTTTGTCATTTCCTGTTGCAAACCCACTGGGTCTCCCCATGTGATAGGACAACCCAAAGTCCATGACTGCCACAATCCACGCAAGGCGTCGTCGCATATCAATGGTTTGCTCATCCAAATTATAGCCGGTAGTGATCGTCTGCTCGTCCGTTAAGCCCTCTTGTTGACAGATGCGAGTCGCAAGGCCAATGACATAGTACACTGGTGTTTTCGTGGGGGTGAGGAGCGAATAGTGGCCGACCAAAACTAGACACTGCAAAGTCTTGAGATCCTTGGGACGTATTACAGCCTCGGCGTACTGCATGGCTGCTAAGTAGTAGCTGTCCGCTAACCCGGCATATTGTGAGTCGAATTTTTGAAGGGCAATAGCAATAACCATCCGGAGCACAAAGTTTTTGTATGGGTCTTCGTCGCCATTGTACACTGCTTCCATGTCCCTCTCAAAATTTTTCTCGTGGAGAACAGGCCAAAATACTTGTGCTAGAAGTTGAGTCAAGTTAGTACTTCCTCCAAGTCTACAGAGTGTGGCCAGTTTGGAATTGGGAAACCATACATTTTTGAATGAATAGCTCGATAAGTTTGTCCATGGTTGCGCGAGATGGCAGACCATGGGCAGGGCCCTCGCTAAGCATCGGGTAGCTTTTCTTTCTGCCATTTGGTGGTCCAGTCATTTGTATAGACTGCATCCGAGCTTGGCTTCTAGCCCGTACCTCCGGTATAAGATCGGATATGCGGTTGGATGCCGTGTATCTCTTGGCCTCCTCCATCAACAACCTGGTCATAGCAATGCCACTGCTGGGCCCCAAGTATCTAGACGTTTCATCACTTGCTTTGAGACGGATCATGCCTCCGGGTCGAACAATGTCTTCAGTAGTCTTGGGATAATCATTTTCATCATCCGTGTAATGGGCCAACTCGGCCTCGAGCGCCCTGACTTTGTCCTGAAGCTTAATGACATAGTATCGGTTGATTTTCTTGCCTTTGGCAGTATCCAAGTATTCGCATATTGAACCAGATCTCTCGCACGGCAAACATCGTGGCAAAGACGGATCGCAGCGGGTTTTCCGCTATGACATAATTGTTAGTATGAGTGCATGCTGGCAGGTAGGCTAGTCATACCTGACGACAGCGACAGCAGGCTGTCAATGTGTGGGCAACGCGGTGACCTGAGCCGTCATCATCGGAAAGATCGTCATTGGACCTTCGTGATTTTTGATAATGGGCTGTATATGGTTGATTTGGGCGGGCCGGGGCAGACCCAAGTCCCTGCCTAAAAATGTGTGCTGGATCCATGATGGGGTCCTTCAAGTTGCTGGCAACCCGCTTGGCTCTAGAGCATGCACCTTGCCAGAGGTGAATATTGACCAAAAATGCGCCTGTTCAATCGTCACGCCCCAACGTATTTGAATAACGACAACGGGTTGCACAAGAAGTCCGGTGCGACTGGTCGAGTCAAGTCTGCGTACGTCGTGGGGCCTCGCCTGAGACCGGGCCGCCGGAAACAGGCTGAGAAGGGCGCAGTGTGTACCGAGCTGCCGGCCAGGTTCGCTGTAGTGGTCAGGCCAATATCGTTTTGATGTCAAGTTCAACCTGTCCCAGTAATCCGCAACGAGGCGGTGGAGGAAGCACACAAGTCCAAGGGGTTGCGGAGAGCGACAAGGTTCACACGCTGACTTCCAGACAAAGCAAAAATTATAGCGGCGGGCTAACAGGTGGCTAAAGAGTAGTCGCCAGAGTCGATGACAGCTATATATGCTTGATGGATCGAGCGACAAAGGCGGTTGAAAGAAGAAGCAGAAGGTCGGCAAAGGGGGGCTGCGACTGAGCAGGTGATGCGCAGAATGCAGAGTGCAGAGTGCAGGATGAAGTCGCGGTTGAGACGTGCTCTCGCTCGCCTCAGGGACGTGGTCAGCGGTGCTTGGCGGAAAGGAGGGACTGACATGGAGGTTTAGGAGGGTCTTGATGACCAACAAGGACCCCCCAGACATGAATGAGCGAGCCCAGGTACCCTCCTACCTCTGGGGACCTGCCTCGGTACCTAGATACACAGCTGATTGACTGACAAACATTGAAGAGGGGCAGCAGGAACGTCTGCGCATTAGTGGGTTGGGCGCGTGCTGATTGGCACGGAATGCGACCGTGCAGGCGAGCGGCCTTCCAGCCTTCTTCTACCCGTCAGTTGCAGAAATGGCGTGGGCGCTTGGGCACTTGGGCAGTTGAGCACGTCAGCCGGGTACGGAGTAGTAGTACTCCTGTGTCAATTGACAAGCAACTGCTACCTTGTAGGCTCCGATGTCTGTGGTAAGGACTCGAGGTCAACATACTTAAGTACTGGGCAGTGAATTACCCAGGCGCCTACCCCGGGTACTTGGGTGCATTCAATGTTCCCTTATTCGAAACGTGCATGTGCATGCTTGACCAGACCCTTTACCGCCGACATACCTACTAAAGTAGTACTCCGTACCTAGTACCTATTAACGCCTGGATGGCCGTCTGTCGTTCTAAGCCATATGCATATCCATCGGCAGAACTTGACCGAAGTCGGCGGGCATTGGTGCCAGCCAGGTCGACGTTGCATCGCTTGGTTGAACGGGCTGCGGACTTGGCAAGCACTAGAAACAATGCCCCATTGATCCTTCCGCTTGTGGCAAAGGCACACGCACTATCGACAGTTTCGAGGGCCATTGGGTCTGGCAGGCAGCATCTAAAAAATGACAATGATTTGACTGACTCATTTTGAAAAGTCCACATCCCAACAAGCTTGGGAGAGTCTCGGGAGCACTAAAGCGCCGCAGGTCCACACAGCCAAGAGCACCAGGGTCGTTCAACGGTTCGTTGTTGACTCGAGTAATGCTTCTCTAACTTTCCGCGAGTCTGTATAAGGAGTGGTTCGCATCACTTTCTTGTTCAGAGAAATGCATGCGTACGATGTGATTGACTCGAGCAACCGCATATACAACCGCACGGTATGCAGCCAGCGGTCGTGAGATATGCTTTGAGAGGCTGCTGTATCATGCACTTTGTCAACATTAGTTTCCTTGGGAAACGATCATATTCCCTGGCTCGTACCTCGATGCGCGGCGCTGCCACGTGGAATGGCGTTTGTCGTCGAGATGCGGACTTCACCAGAACTATCCGCACTCTGCTTCTAGCCTCGCTGCCAACTACTATATAGGTAGGTAGGTATGCAGCCTACCCACTAGATGGGCAGATGTCCCCAAGAGCGCGGAAATGCATCAACCTCGCAACGATAAGGCCGGGGCTGTGGCTGGTGGATGAGCAAGATGCGCGCAAGCCATGAACCCTATTAAGTGGCAAGTTCGTCATGTATCAACATGGCAGCCAATCGTGCAACAGCATAGTTCGATCGTCTCGCTGAGTCTCGATGACGAGGCTCCGCATTCCGTGGGCCATTGGTGTTGTTGGCTTTCGAGAAATAGCTGCCTAGAGTCTAGTCGGTCGGCTTCCAGGAGCGCGGGAAGGCATGAATTATTAATAGCAATGCCGACATCTCAGAAACCTGCATCGTATTTTACGGAGCACCATGGGTGACAGGCAAGATGGGGTGGCATTGTAGATGTAAATCAGCACCCTGGTCAACTACCTAGTGCCTAGGGAGAAAGGATTGCAGAAAAAAACTCAAAACGTGGACCCTCCGGCCTTGGCTTCCGAACCCCCGATGAGCCCGTCCGCTTGTGCCTGGACCCTCTTGCTGTCGTCGAAAACAGCCAGAAGCACGGCACACTTGCATGCAGAATAGCACGGACTGACGGAGAACAGGAGTGTTAAGGCGAGAAAAACTTTGGAATAAGACAAGACCTTGTATCATCCATCATTCGTCCGTGTGCCGTGTTTTACCCCTGACATACACTAACTACATTGTTCCTTCCCTTTCTGATCGCTCTTGCCGGGTGCTCCTTCCACTGACGCACTGGAGTGGCGCCAACTGCCATATATTGATTGCATGTTGCGTGTTGACGGGGTGCACATCGTGGTGGGCAGTTGCTGACACCAGTTCGGGAGAAGATCTAAAGATGTAATTTCAGAAAAATATACACTCCACAAAGCGAGAGAGAGAGAGAGAGAGTGTGTGTGTGTGTGTGTTGTTTTGACAGACCATGTACGTGCCAGTTACAAAACTCTCTCTGGTACCAGCCAACCCTTGGTTCGCCTTCTAGAAATGGCATTTCCTTCCAAGTATCGACTTCCATTACGCCTACACAGCAGCAGCTTCCCGACTACTCTGACTTAAGCAGCTTCTCCTTCATTGTCGACTCTTCTTCTTGGCCAGTTTTGATACTGACCCCACCAAGGTGGCGCTCTCTTTGGCCAAGATTGAATGAAACATGCAACCTGGAGTTGCTACTATTCCGTCTCCCTTGTCTCGTGATTCTCCGAGTTCTTGGACTGGCCCTGTCTTGTTGCTCGCACTCCCCGCCGTCGCCGTCCGTTCTCGAGTCCAGTCCAGCCTTGTCTATGAGGAGGCTCGATGGAGTATTGAGGAACTATATGGAGCAATCGTAGCCAACCAGCTCATCTCTCGACCTTTATTTCGCCCGTCTCGCATCACAGCTCTTATTTCACGTCGCATTTGGTGGTTGAAAGAAAACAAGGGAAGCGTGGGGTTGCTCGCTGCTTGGCAGCAACATGTCGGCCATGATAATTCGATGGCTGATCTAGGGCGGCATTATATTCTGCATAACCTTCGACTTCCCACATTTTGCTGGTCCCAGCCCTAGCGTCTCTCCGCCACGCTAGTTGGCTTGCCCGGCTGGTGCTGGGATCAATTTGATCTTACCCCAGTTGTCGCGGACTTGTGATCCTGGTGGTTTCTCAGTCTCCAGAAAGCGCCAGAGAGCCTCGACTGGCCCCCGCCCTTGCCTTACGCCGCCTCAGTCCGTGGGTTGATTCTGTGGCTGCCCGTCGTCCAAATGCAATACAGGTCCGGCTGTGGCACATCCATCCATCCCACTCGCACTCGACACTCGTTCACCCTGCTCAGTCAATAATAGTAAGCCGCCTAGCTCACCATCACATCCTGCGCGACAGCTTCGGGATACCTCACCACTGCTAGTCCCTGTGCTTGCGAGCTTTGCTAGACGCTCATCTACATCGCCTTGCTCATCTTGTCTTCTCCCAAGAAGCACAGTTATCGGGCCTTTTGCCCGGCCGGCCTCAGACTCCAACGGCGCTCAGTTTTCCGCACCGCAGTTCTTGCGAAAGCAATGCGCCATGCCCCGCACTAGCTTCTCGCGAAATCCCTTGTTGAGGGTCTCAAGGCCAGTATCGGCCTGCTCGCGATGTGAGTTGACGCAATATCATGAAGCCCTTCTAGTGAATTTTGCCCGTTCCCCCAACTGACCGTTATCTGCCTAGGTCGTGCCGCCAAGGTCAAGGTACGCAGTACTTCCGCCAAATGGTTGTAGGATTGGTCTTCGTAGCTAACCCCTCGTGAATCTCAGTGTGATGGCAAACTACCTGCTTGCACCGCCTGTGAAAAGGCAGGTCGTGAGAATGAATGCTCGGCAGCCAATGATCAATTTGCCAGAGGCAAAGAACGGAGGTGTGTTGGCAGGCCGACGAATTCTGCCCGTGTCCGGGCTGACCTCTGTGTGAACAGTTATGTCGCTGCTCTAGAACTCCGCATCGAGAAGCTCGAACGACGGTTGGATTATGCAAAATCTCGAAAAGCCTCCGTTGGACAGCATGAAGCCGATGGTACTACTAACACCAACCTCACTGAAGCGGATAGAAGAGATTCCCTAGCGGCTATTCGAGCTGCGATCCATCGCAAGGCGGCGCGTAACCGGGAGAACTTAGACGTCAACTCCCTAGTATCAGACTTTGGTATCCTGTATGAGCTTTATCTAGTAGCGCGCTTTTGTCGCCCTTCTCCTGTTTTCCCCATTTTCCCGCCTCCGGCACCGTTTCTGACAGTCTACCTTTTTGCAGATCGGTCGATGCCACAACTAGAGATTTTGAGCCTTCTCTGGGCAACATTACTTTTGCAAGGCTTGTCTTGGCTGTTACGACAAAAGACTCACTATCAGAGTCACCACAATCCATGATGCCTTCTAGGCAGGCCGCCAATACCATCGTGCAGTATTTTATGGCCAATATTTACTCATTGTTTCCATGTTTCTCGGAGACTGCGCTCTTGACAATATTAGACGATGTATATCGTCAAGACGACCGCGTTATCAGGGACTCAGATTACTGGTTGCTGTTTCTAGTTCTTGCCATCGGGTCTACCTCTCAAAGTCGCAAGATCAACGATGAGTGTTATGTTAGCGGTGTCAATTTCGTTTGCAGAGCCATGTCTTATGCAGATCGAGCGCTTGCGCCGGGATATGTCACTCAGATCCAGTCGCTACTTCTACTAACCATATATTCCATGCTGGATCCTGCTCACTTTGATACATGGCATCTAATAGGGTTCACGTCACGGGCCGTGGTTGACTTGGGATTGCACCAGGACCCTCCCACATCGTCAGTGTCGGACCGGTCCGCTCTTGATATGCGACGCAAGATATTCTATTGTACTTATGCTCTCGACCGGTCAGTTTATTCCCTTGCTCCCCTATCTCGTGTGTGTCATCACATGCTTACTTGGCCCAGTGCTATTAGCATGGCCCATGCTCGGAGCTTCTCGTTTGCGGACGAATCCATTAATGTTGCGTTCCCTCAAATGTCGAACTTGGGAGATAAGCCGGCCACTTCGAAACTTATATCCGGACCTCAATCTGCGGATCCGGCCTTGTTACTTTTCCAGCTCCGCCGAGCCCAGTCATACTGGTACCAGGTTCTTTATCAATCAGAGCCGACTCCTTTGCCGAACCCTACCGGATTTCTTTGGCAGATGTGCTTAGATATGAGAGAATGGCAGGAGTCCCTCCCCAACACATTATCACCTGGTATTCGGCAAATGTTTGAGCAGGAGCTACGTTACAGCTATGTGTACTGCATTGCACCGTCAGCCAGAGCACCTCAAATCACAAACTACATTCGAGTCCTGATATTCGAGTATTCTCTGGAGTATCTCAACAACATGTATGACATTGCATACAGTGGCTTAAACAGCGCATTTTACACATACCACGATGCGTTAAAAGTCTACTTCATGGCCAATCAGTTACTGGCTGTGCTGCGAGACGCACAGGATTTACTCGTTTTTGGGGCACATGTCCCACCTCCACCAGCTCCTCCTGGTTCTGCGCCTGCTCCGCCCATACCTCGCCGCCATATGAGACCTGATATGCCCGTGGGCAACAATCTAAATCTCGATAGAACTATTTGGTGTCTAGAACGCATTCCCAAGACGTTGCAGCTTTACGGGATGAAGTGGGAAGATGCATTGATGCTTGAGCGGAGCTTTGAGCAATTGTCAAACGGGACAGTGGACCGCCTGAGAAATCTTCGCCAGTTGTCTGGTCACAATCAGTATCAAAATGGAGTCCAATCCATCACTCCTCCAGGAGTAGTTCAACTTCAAGGCCAGCAGGCACCCGCTAGTATGAGATGGGTAGGAGTGGGTGCAACTCAGATGATGCACGGAGGACCTCGTCAATAGTTGACATGACTGACCTTTTCTTTGGGGGGGCCAAGTTTGAAAAATGATGTATGTTTATGGGCTTTTGACGGACACATGGCGTTTGTTGCAAAGGAACAGAAGGATACAATACCCGCACTTGTATGTCCTATTTTGAATACTACTCACGAGCACGGCCGAATCATGTACGCATAAGGCCGCGGCTCTTGATGCTTGTCCATTCCTGGCTATGTCCGTATTACACTGCGGACTCCCATGTGCTTTGGTTGCTATCAAGAATCGAAAACCTTTAAAAATAGAAAAAAACCTGTACTCAGAATTGGCAAAATGACGTGTCAAATGCCCAGAACAGAGCAAATGCACACAGCTAATATCAACAACAGTATTAATCCAAGCACTGCAGCCGTCACCTCTTGATTGTTGTGGTTCATTTACTCGACAGCATTTTGTCTCTCGCATGGCCGCCTTCATAAATACAGAGGGTACTAATCATTCGTCTTGGAGCAAGTATATACAGAGGAACGTGTAAAATCGGAGTTGCTTATACAGGTAGTTGTCATCTTTGTGACGAGGGGTTTTAAAGATGTCGACTTGGTAGAGGCAGCATGTAGTTGGGAACATGATGGATTCTGTGGTTTTGCAGTATAAATAGCCATGGTTTTGAGCATCATGTATGCCAGAGTAGGGCAGCGCCCGCGCCCCGGTCCGCGATCCCTTCTTGCAAGAGCCGGCCCAGCGTAGCAAAGACGTTGGAGTGACATGGTAGTTGGCATTGGAAACCGCATCGTACTGCAGACAGGTACATTGTCAAACTCTGCATCAACGCCTTCACCTAAAATTCTTGTGCAGGCAGTCTAGATCTTTCGAGCCGTCTCTCTTCATCGGTCCAGCATAGACGAGATTATATTTCCATCAAACATGCACTCTGTATTCATGCATCATGATGGGCGCCTACAGATGGCATGGACATGGGCCTTGGTGCCGCTGCGCCACTGCTTCCGCCATGTTGGCCACGGAATGGTGGTGGTTGAATGCGAACTCTGCATGTGCCGTACCCAGAAATGCCGTCGGCTCAGATGGTTTCCCCGAGCAGACGCACTTTGCACCGTTTGGAGTGCATCGTGTCGACGGGCAGAGGCAATGGAGATGGTGCCAGAATATCTCAAAGGGGCCTTCTAGAACACACACGATATCCAGGATAGAAGAGAGACGGTGTGCCGCCAATGCTTCATGATTTATCGGCAATATTGATACGCCTAACATCCCGTTCTACCTCTACACGGAGATTTTTCCCCATTCGCCCTCCCAACAAATCACCCAAACTTTCTCAAATGAGAAAAAAAAAAAAATAGATAAATCGACAAAGTTCTCTCACCCATGCCCCCTTTCCATCCCTCCCTCCCTTCATTTCACAAATGTAGCACCGAGGCAAGTAAAATAAAAAAAACAATATATATCAAAAGCAGCATGAAAGAACTTTCCCTGTACGCCCCTTCCCCTAAACGAATTGTGAATACCTTTCTTGTCAAAATCATAGCCGTATTGAACGTCCTTCTTGTATACCAGACTCCACGGCTCGAGCAATCAGAGGGCCAAGGCTACGGTCCCCGCTTGTGATGGGAAGTGTCTGCAACCAATCTCTCGAGTTGGACGGCAAGCGCCCCCGACTAGAGTACAAGCGTGATGCGGACTGGGGAGAGCCGGTCGAGATTTGCCGAGAGCGCCGCTCGGGCGTGGCTTTGTCCGCCTTGTCCGCCTTGTCCCTGCCGCTTTGCGTGACGGAGGACTCCTAGGCCGCTCGAGGATCTTGCATATGCAGGTTTTTGGTCTGGCGAGGGAGCCTTCGATCACGCTCATATAAATACCCACAGTTTGCACATAGAGACTGGTAGCATGTCCCGTTAGCACCAGGCATCGTGGAATGGGGCAAGAGGACGTTGTCGACTGCAAGGACATTCGACTCACCTTGGGGCCGGCAGGACCATCGCGAACTGCCCAGACACTGGTCCCCCATACTCGACAGTGTGTGCACCTCCACGTGTGTCTCTCGACGTCTGTCAATGCGCCTCCACCGCCGTAGCCACCGACATCTGGCGTTCCACGACCTCCAGGCGTTCCACTGCGGTTCAGCGGGCTGAGACTTCTAAACCGTCGCTTCTTCTTCGATCGTTCGCCTCGGCCCATCCTCTCCTCCTCCACTTCCGCAGGGGCGCCGAAAGGCGTGCCTCCCAGCATGCCGGCTGTCGAGCTAAATCGCGCCGTCTCACGACGCAGTCGCCGGGCTTCTCGTTCCCGTTCCCCTTCTCGTTTTTCTATTTCCTCCTTGCTCAGGAATTCAACCTTGGGCTCCCAATCATCCGCCAGATGGTCTGGATCATATCTCCACCCGGCTTCCGTACCCAAAGCCGCATCGTTGGGCAGGTCTTGTTGTAGTCCACCCCAGCCAGCAACCAAGCCGCCGGCTTCGCAAGCCTCCTTCTTCAGCCGTAGAACGGCTTCATAGATTGCGTGGGTCATTGCCGGTATCCATTCGCCAGTTAATCCCAGATCCGCACAAGTCATCTTTGCAAACGCCTCGGCTGTGCCAGGAGGATGAAGTAGTGACCACTCAAACTTATCCGTATACAACATGGACGACAGGTTAAGGCTCAGATTGATGATGCAACGGTAGGTATCATCGGGGTTATAGTCGTCAGAGTCTGGCAGGATCGGTGTAGCTTCCGCCGTGACATTTGGTGCTGCAGTCTGCGACGGGGTTGCCGGGCCGGCGCCACCTCGAGCAGGAGTATCTGGTCGTGAAAGTGCTCTGGCAATCGAGGCCGGCGAGTCTTCTCTTGACTTCATCATCAGAGTCGGCCTTGGTGTTCCAACAGCAGTCCCATTGGCACCACCTGCGGCCGGCGCCGGCGGCGCCGGCACCGCTGCCGGTGTATTCTGTTCCGTGTGGAACAAGGGATGAAGCGCAACACCTGCATATTCCTCAAGCTGAGTTCTAATCTGTTTGCTAATCTCCGCAACCACCACTGCGCGGTTAGGCAGGTCCAGGTCCTGGGCGAGAGTCTGCGCAAACTGGTCAGTAGTAATGAGTGTTTCGTGCAGATTCCAGCAAAATATGTCTCTAAGCTTGTACGGCACTGTCATCTCACCAGGTCGATACTGAGGAAGAGAGCTATCAACCGCAGCGGTATTCGGAATAGGAAAGGCCGCAGCAGGAACGAACGCCGGTATATCGAGATCGATCCGTATAGGGATCAGGGTGAGAGGAAGGCTTGCTTGCGCAGCATTTTGTTGGTCGCTCTTTAGTGCTCGGTTCTTGCCCATCCAGTCGCGCCAGATGCCTTGAACTTCCACAGGCTCCTTGGTGTCTTTGCCAGCCTTCTCAGCCAAATCTTGTCTGGATGCAGAATCTTCCTTGCGCAGACTCCTTAGGCCAGTCGGTCGACGGCGGGTGTCGTCACTATCTTCTTCCAAGTCATCATAACCATCTTCGGCGTAGTTTATGATGGTGGTGCCTCGCTTCGTCGTTCTCGAGAGGGGTCCCGAGGGTGCACTGGGCAGCACAGGCGTCAGGAGAGAGTTGTTGTAAGCGCGCAGGCGAGGCGCGTAAGATGATTGAAAAGCTTGAGGTCGTGATCGTTCCATGATGTGCAGTAAACGACCGTATCGGTCAGGTCATGCTGGCGCAAGGGAGCAGCTGTGGTGAAGCGATCGCAACGCGCAGCAGAGGGGGGGCAGGGGCAAACCCCGTGTCCGCAATTGACTGCAAAAGCGCGGCCCCGACAATCGGCTATCTAGCGGTCGTTCCGGGTTGATACTGATGGATATCGCACTTGGGATGGTGGTGGCGTGGATGGATTGGACGAGGTTCGATGGTGGTTGAAGCTTCCACAGTCGCGACTCGTGCATCTGTCGCTTTGTCAATCGCGTTGGTCAAAAATTTCGGCATATTCCGTTTCGCAAACAAGGAATGTGGCGGTGCGCCAAGGTAGCTGTGCACTAGCCACATCTTTTGTTCTCGACCGCGCCATTCGCCGCACGTTTCCTCCTTCAGCCATGCAACCAGATTCTGTTTTTTTTTTTTCCTACAAAGGACTGCTTGATAACATCTGATACTTCTACTCCGTCCAGATGGAGATATTTACAACCAATAGATCTACTATCTCAGACCGTCCAGCACTCGTGGGTTTTACTGTAGCAAACCGAAGTGGCAGTCCCATCAAGCACATGGCATGTATTGGCTAACAACATAATTTGGTCCAACTCAAAGGATTGTCGCCTCCATAAAACTTCTGGAACCTTTCAGCACCAAATTTTCAAATAGTAATAATAACTCGTCTTCTTCATGCATGATATTTTAATATTTTGCGCAAAGAGATGGTCTGATGTGACTGGGACTGCAGATGTACCTAAAACGGCTTCTGACCGACACTAAGCCTGTCAGCGAGAATACACGCAGAATCTATCCGACCTGCAATTTACTCACATATTCCCTTCTGGAGCGAACCGGCAAACGTCGAAGAACTTGTACGGCTCGGAGATGCTGTAAGCTCGAGCACAGCCAATCCGGGTGGTCGAAGACCACATACACTGAGCTACTCAGAATATCAGCTTGTTCCCGAACGACATCGCTAGTGGAAAGGCAGATCTGTGCTTACACCAATGAAGCCACGGCTCTTTTCCAGTAGTTATCGGCTGGCCGGTATATAAACGCTCTTGCGACAACCAGGCACGCATTGCCGCTTGGATAGGGTTGTCATAATCCGCGTCGCACTGTCCGGCGGATTGCTCGTACAGGTTTTCTCCCTGGCTCGGTCGATATGACACTGGGGCATGTTCAAAGGGCTGTCTCCCGCTTCCCATTTCATTTGCCCAAAACTGAGCGTAAGCCTTTAGGGTGGCGTCCCATGAAAGAGGTTGGAGGCCTTTGGCCTGACGAGCCTGATTTACAAGCGTCAGGGCCATGATCGGATCATTGCTTCCGGCTATAGAAAGGCCGCTCTGGACCAGAAGGCAGGAAACAA